AGGCAGACGATGTAAACAAGACGAGCAGAGTGTGTGCGCTGTGCGACGGCTGCATGGCGGCGTCTGAAGCCGTCTCATAAACTGACAGTGACCCGGCTTCTACTCCAACACAACACGTAGCAGAAAATCTAAACAGACAGACCTGGAACGGGGCAGGCTGCCAGGTAATGCAACAAGGCAGCGCCAGTCTGCATTTTGCACCCATTCCAACCTGTTTCTCATTAAGCATTAAACAGAAATTACCTAACTAAGACCTCCATTCCCCTTAATGAGGGTTTGCAGCTCCGATGCTCTCATATTCCCTCTCCCTCCCAATCCGTTTCCCGAAGGTGAACATTCCATACGCTAATTTCAGTTTCATGCAGGAAAGACTTGTAGGCGCATGTGTTGTTTGTTTGTCAGAGCCAACGTGTGTGTGTGTGTGTGTGTGTGTGTATGTGTGTGTGTATGTGTGTGCATACTTCTCCTCAGTGTGCATGTGTGTAACTTGTGTGTTTACATGTGGTCTGGCTCCAGACCCTGTCACTCATCCTCTTTGACCTTTAGTAAGCTGTGAAATTTAATTTCAGGCTTGGGTTGCTTTTTTTCTGCACAATCCTACACCTGTGCCAAATATGTCCATGGGGAAGTTGGACAGCAGTTAAAGTGCTGCAGCCAGGCATGTCTAAGACACACTGTGAGCCAGCCTGCCAGACAGACACACAGACAGGAGGTGACGCAATCATCAGAGTCTGACCCCCCCGTGAATGACCTCACCTTTGACCCTTTACCTCTCTGCCACTATGGCTGCCGACCGGGGCATTTCCAGGAGGCTTCGGCTAATTGGGTCAGATTGCGCAGAGAGGAGCATTATGCCTGAAATTGGAAACACATGCAGCTATACCTCAGTGTGTATGTGTGTGTGGTAATGGTAGCGATGGTGGTGCAGCTCTTACTAGAAAGAGTTCTGAAGATAGGAGAATGGAGGAGGAGAGCACTGTAGGTGAGGTGAATGATGGGAGGAATGATGAAAAGGATTGAAAATGTAAAAACAAATCAGCCGGGGAAAATCAAAGTGTGTGACGCTAGAAGAGGAGATGATGAAGGACTGACACCGGGCACCTTGGGGAGGTCGAAGCTCCGTAATTGAGGTCTGACGTCTGACTCGGGTGGCTCAGTTGCGGACAGACAGACTGTTAGCCTCGCCCTGACAGCTCAGCTATTTGCAATAATTGCCATAATCGCTACCTTCCAATTACGCTCAGATCCGAGTTTCAAATGAAGGAGGATGTCCAATGTGAAAGCAATAGTTGATGTGTGATGGCGCTGCGTGTGGGAAAGATTTCATCGGAGGAGGCGAAGGTAGTGAAAGTGACATCTGGAAATGAGAATCGGTTGAAGATGTCAGGATTGAAAAAGGTGGATCATGAGCAGGAGAAAATGACTGTGGTGAAACTGATACCACGTCTATGAGACGCAGTGAGTGATGTTGCCGAAGGCTTTGCGAGTTCCTCGTGTGGAAGGCGGGAGCAGAGAAAGGATCACTTCTGTTTTTACGGGGCTTTAATAACAGTTTGACAATCTGTTTGGGTCATGAAAAATGTTGTTTGTTGAAAACACAAATCCTCAAAGGAACAACAGAAAACCGCTGTTGAGCATTGTGTTATTTGGCTGCAATATTGTGACCTCACTTTAAGGGCTTTTGGTGACGTGCGGATTTGGGAAATCTTTTGATGTGACAGTATGACAGATAACTTGTTCTGTGAATGAACCTTAAAATAAATCTCTATATCTCTTCCATCGTGAAATGCTTGCGGTTTATATTGCATCTATAAATGTGTGTGTTTGTGTGTAAAAGAGAGAGTAAGAGGGCAAAAGCCCAAGAAAAGGACATCCCCGCATCCCTGCCCTTTCCATCGTCATCTTTGTTTGACCTCCACTCCTGTCCACACTTAGCTAACAACTTTCCCTTGCTCTCTTTTCTCTCACTCCAACTCTCACTCATGCAGCCTGAGGCGGAAATATCTAAGTGCATGCAGGGCAAGTTCAGACAAAGAAGGAGATTGAGAGAATGGTGGGAGGGTTGCGAGGATTTCAAGTGACTGACACTAAATGCAAAGAGGGAGGAACGGCCGCGAGGGACACACCAGGCAGTATATATGTGTGGTAATGGTAAAGAGAATCTGGTGGAAGAGTCTCTGAAATCTAAATCTACAGCCGCTGTATGTTGGATATAGTTAAGGGAAACAGAAGGAATTGAGATAGACACAGTGTGTGTGTGTGTGTGTGTGTGTGTGTGTGTGTGTGTGTGTTTGTGTATGTGTGTGCGTGCCATCGTGTGTGTTTGCGCAATCAGTCAATGGGTGCAAGTACATCAACGCTCCCTTCCATCTGAGGGTATTGACAGTGTTAAATGTCTCCGTCCCTGAGTGAAGACTGCACTTTAGTCTGCCTCTCTATACAGAAGTGACCCGTTTTAGCGGCTTTGAGTTTGAAAAACCTCTTTTCATGATCCCCCTTCTCTTTCTGTGTCTCCTCTCCAGTCCCTATCTCTCCCATCCCCAAACTCTTTCATGAGCAGTCTCTCAGGGGCAGGGTTGTAACACAACCCTCCCCTCTTTTGTTTCCATTCTTTTCCTTATCCTTTCATCTTTTTAAACATTCAGGGGGAAAGGGGTTTGGTGAGATGGAAACCACTACTTGGTAAAGGAAAGAAAGAGATAGCATGTGAGAGAGGGGGAGGCAGGAGGAGGGGGAGGCAGAGTCTCCCCCTCCTCTGCTCATCCACCAGTTTATGGCTCTCCTTTTCAACAAGGCCATTCAAGGTGGGGAGGCTCAGTGGACGCGCTGTTCTCGCGGGTCAATAGCACTGAACCCTCGTCTGGTTTGTATGGGGACGACTTATCTGCTCAGAGGACCCGTTGAACTGTCTGTCGGCCTGTGTGTCCTCCATAGACCTCCATTGTGTCTCCGCTGGGCCTTCGCCGACTTTCCCCCCCAAAGACCTGTGAGTGGACAGAGCAGCCAGTCACCAGCTCCTGTTTCCATCCTTTCAACTTTACAGGAGTCCTGAAGCCGCTGACACTCACACTACCAACATTTACAGAAAAATGACTTTTAATTGCATAGAATAACTTAAGCATTAACCACTAACATTCATAGAATTTTAAATAAAAGAACATCTAAGTGTGCGTTGAAGAATACTTCAACCCCCAAATGACCATTTGTCTATCACTTAGTCACACCATGTTACGTAGAATTTGTTTTTCCTTGCATGCCTCCAGGTGAATGAAGAATCCAAAAATGGATAAAACTCTTGATGCATTGTGTTTAACAGCAGCAAAACTACGTTTACATATTCTCACACAACTCGTTCAATATAATCCTAGTCTCATCTATCCTGCCATATGCTCAGCACTCTCCACACACACGTATTTTGGGTTAAACAAATAAGAACAGAACCTGTCCTGGCTGTGTGGAAAAGTTCTAAATATTAGGGTTTTAGCAAAAATTCCTGAGTTTGGGAAGTTCCAAGAATATGATGAAATATAGAAGAATTACATGAGTTATGTAAGAGTTTGTAAATGCATGTTTTGATATAGATGTGTTGTTGTAAATGCAGCATACTTTTACTATAACTCATCAAGGGTGTTTGCCTTTTTTGGATTCTTTGTGAGACATGCGCAACAGTTTTTTTTTCTCCGGATTTTAATGTAACACGGAGCGACTAACTTATGCAAATGGAAATTTGGGGGGTATAGTATTCCTTTAGGGCAATATGCACGGAACTTACATTTACAGTGTGGAACAATAATACATCTAGAATACACATCCATTTACTGAATTTTAACAATCAATTTTTGCTGTGAAAATAAAAAAAAATGTTGAAATGCATAACCAGATAAAAAGATTTGTCTTTCATTAAAGTCACTGACAGCAAAAACATTTTAACAATGCTGTGTGTGTTGTAATACTTGACAAGATCCCCAGATTTGGAGGTGCACCAACAACTAAGCACTTGTTTCTTTGCCCACGGCGTCAATAAATATTTTCACTTTTTACAAGCAACCAGATTTCAGTTTCCTTAATGATAAAGAAATTAAAATATCACCGTTGACTCCTGAGGCCCCACATGAAGGTAGGACACTGATATCTAAGGTAAATACTTTAAACACCACTTCAAACAGCTGGCAGTTCATATCCAATAAAATGGAAAGTAGATGCTTATGAAAATAATTCCTAGAGGACATCGAACAGTCATCCAGCCTGTAGTCTCACAAAAGAGATTATTCCTGGATGCAGTATTTATGAATAATAGCCGGTTGGCATGATAGGATTCAGGGCTGGGATTCAGGGGTCCCTGTGCTACCCACTGCCAAGGGCCTCCAAATCATTAAGTCCACCCCTGTTTAAATGTATGCATGGAATTTTGGACTCTTTCCATGTTGAAATTTGTACCGGTTATGTTTGCACCACTTGTGTTTTCACAATATTTCCAATATAGTGTCCAGAAAATATGAAAGCACTAATAACAGCCAATGAGGTCATCAAGATCCAGATCATCCTGTCCAAGTGCCCTTCAGCAAGACACTCACCTGCCAAAGAGCCAGGCACACATCCAAAAAAAAAAAGATCTGGTGCAAGCAAACAGGAAGCAATCTGAAACTGGCATTTGGCTTTTAAAACAGTAAGTTACATCCTCAGATCTGATTGAGCCAAATGAGATTATGTTGCACTCTTGCACTTGCAGACGAGAAGACTTGACGAATTGCGCCATCCAGCTTCACTACAGCTTGTTTGTAATAATTTGCACTGTTACCAACCCATAATGAACTCACATAACATGGAGCCGTGCCAACACAACACTGCTGGTAATTCGTCAAATTGTTTTCTTGTGAACCGTGGGGCGGGGATGAAAAAAGGGGGAGGTAAAGGTAAAGCATACCTCTGTCACGCACATGGGAAGTCTGACTTCACACACACGTTTGTATGAATGCATCAAAACTAGCTAGCATTTTATGTGACTTTTTTTTGGCTAATTTTGCGCATTTAACGCTGGATTACTGTTTCACATTAAATGCATATGTTTAGGAAACGACTTTTGGACACATCTCTCACAGATGTTACTCGTTGAAGTGCTGTAGGTCTCTTTTTAATATACTAACCTCCTGAGGAAGAAAAAAAAACTTCGGCTTGTCTTTGCGCTTTCCAGGAGAAACCGGAGTCGTTAGCCGCGTTAAGTTAGCATCGGAGAAGAAGTTGCGCCGGAAGTGGATGTTAAAGTCTTCAAAATAAAAGCCTTGCTGCTAACCCAACGCTTAATCTAAGCACCGTTTACCTCAGATTGGTTTTATTTTGAAAGTCAGAACCAGAAGTTGCAATTCCGACTCTTGCTAGCTTAACTGTTTGTCTGACTTAACGCGTTTCAGGCGGAGTTCAGGTCTTAAAACATTTGGCAAACTTCTTCACCGCTCCACTTCTTCGTCCACATATTTGCGCTGAGATACCTTTCCCCATGTCTGCCTTGGAGGAGTAACGACTCATGGAATATCATAACTGTGTGGCACGTTTACATTTTTGACACTTTTCTGGGCTTATTAAGCATTAAACCTTGTCTCCCTGCAGTGGAAGCGCTCCCAGGACAGACAGGAGACTTCTGGTTTGTAACTTTTTCTTTTCTCCCTTGTCGGATTTTTGGGGCGCACATGCGATGTCACGGACTATTAAAAGAAGAAAGAAATGTTTGTGTTTAGTTTTGCGGTTTCGGTACGAAGGTGTTTTTTGAGTTTATTTTTTTAAACCAGTTGAGCAACTGGCGACAGGACTCTATAATCAATGTGGTGTCAGCTGGAAGGACGCGGGGTCCGGATCTCACCTAAACGGTATGGCTTTAAATCACACACGTAGGCCTTTTAGAGTTAAACACTGTTTACGAATTAATATAGGCTACGCACATATTTATTGATTTGTTGATGTATTCAGCTATTTAGATACACTACAAGTGACGTAATGTGAGTAAGAATCCTTAAGATATTTAATTAGGTCAGTTTATCAGTCTTATGTATATATTTGGTTCCTTAAAAGTCCATGTTTCATTTATTTATTCATCAGCTCACATATTTACTTACACCCCTGCATGCAGACATAACTGGCATATTGTTTTCTTTTTTTATTTCTTGAATTAAATATGTGTCTCAGTTATTTCATGCATTTTTGACTCACTTGTTTCTTTGCACAATGCTTTCTGAACACACCAGACACAGTCTTATTTTGCATTTTATTGTATTTGGCAGTTGTGCCGTGGTAGTCAATTTCACATTTTGTTTTCGTTGGCAGTCAGTCAGGTGAGGTGAGAGCTACCGAGTCAATCCACCCCGCAGGTAGATCACACAGGTTGTAATATAAAACAAACCCGCAGCTGATGTCTTAATTTGATACTGTCAGGAGATCAGGGGCTTAAAACTGTCCTGTGGGAGGTGAAATAAGCACTAAGGAGATTCATTCATTCAGTTGAGCAGCTTTTACATCTTCTGTGGTAAAAGTCAAATTCAAATATTTATCTGAAGTAAACACACAAAAGTATTAGCATCAAAATATGTATGAAGTACCAAAAGCAAAAGTATTCATTATGCAGAGTCAGAATAACATATTATGTAACTGGATTATAAGTATTGTGTACATCATTTTACTGTTACACATGGTAAAAGTGGAGCTAATTTCAGCAGCTTTATATACTTTATCTTCTGGGTATCTTGTTAATTTCTCCCCCAGAGATCAATAAAGTTTTATTTTTGTGTACAATATTATATCAGTGTACTTGTTGATTATATGAATCTGCAAAGTAACACGTAATTATGATATCAAATAATTGTGGTGGTGTAAAAAGTACAATATTTGCCTCTTAAATTAAACAAAGTAGCAGAAAATGGAGATTCTCAAGTACTGAAGTACAGTATTTGAATAAATGTACATTCCACAAGTGTGTGTTGTCATCTTGTGTGTGTGAAAGAGAAGGCGAGATCTACATGTGATTGGAGCGAGATGTGACTGATAGAGTTGTTTCATATGGAGTTAGAGGAGGAGGAGGAGGCTAGATCTATGCAGGCTGAGCGTGGTATGAAACAATCACAGACCTGGAATTAATGGGCTGTTTGCACAGTGGGACAGCAAGGCATTGTAAATGAGCACATGTGAGGCCAAAGCTTTTACTCTACCCTCACAGAGAGAGAGAGAGAAAGAGAGAGGGCAAACATTTACCTGTGTGTGTTTGTATGTCACATGGTGTCGCAGCCACTCCTGTTGTCACTGTTTCCGTTGCTCACACTCAGGTGTGTTTCAGACCTGTCATAAAATCTGCTGATAAATGTGATGTGAGGCGCAAATTGTCTCCCGTTCAGCCGGCCTCCAGACATCTTCCACCCCCGTCGACTTCAAAGAGGCAGGATTAGGTTAGGACGGAGCCTGGTCCTAACACTAACACACAGTGCATTAGCTCTCTGTCGGATGGACGTGTCTGACATTAGCCACGCACGAGGGGGGCATTACTTTGTTAACAGGCTAATAGCACAGTAGCCACTGCCAGGTGTGGAGCTGCTTTATGGCATCTGCTTCCTGGGGAGGGTCTCACAGCCAGAGGCCCTCTGTACCATAATTCCCCCTGATTCCCCCTTCACTCACGCTGTCTCATGTGGATTAAACCCCTGCGGTTCACACTGGCAGCGCTCAAAACAGAAGTCAGACCAATTTGCCAGGTGCCAGAGTTAGTAAAGACACACTTTCCTGTATTGTTTTTCCACATGTTCATATATGTGTCTGTTATGTTTTAAAGCAAAGCGACTGTAGTAGCTGCACATGAACAAGTTAGCTGGATTCACATGTTTTAAGTTTAGTAAAAACATATACACAGAATAATAATAATCACCAACTATTTTTATAATGAGTTTTTGATTCAGCCATTTTTGAAGCAAAGAATTCCATCTTTCTTGGGTTCAAGCTTCTAAAATGTGAAAATTTGCTTCTTTCCATTGTTTTACATTAGTAATTGTAATTTATTTTGGCTTTGAAAAACAAGAAATTTGATGTGGATTTAAGGAAATTATGACAGGTATTTTTTCAGCTTTTTCATGCGTTATAGACCAAATAATGAAGTCAATAATCAAGACAAGAATTGGTAGATTAAATTAATTATAAAAAAAAACAAAAAAAAAAAACATTTCAGCCCTCATCATTTTATTTGACACACAAACGTAGCCAAGCTGCTTCACAGCAAGGAGAAACAAGGAAAAAATGGTTTAATTGCAACAATCATTAACGACAGTAAAATAATCAATACACGGATAACATCAGTAACAGCACAAAAATCAAATCCGGTTGAGAGGGAGACAAACACAGCATGTTACAAGACTAGTTGAAAGCAAAGTGAAATAGATCTGTTTCAAGCTGTCACTTAAAAATGTTCTCTGAGGTCGTCTCCCTGATATCCTGCTGGGAATGTTACAGTATTACACAGTTTGGAAGAAGAGTTTCTTCTGAGGGAACATAAAGGCACATGAAACAAGGAGAAAACTGGCCGCTTCCCAGCCATTTAATTAATATAATTAATGCTAAGTAATTCAGGTTGCCACTGTGGCTCACGGAGGCCTCGCCGTTAGTGTCATAGTTTAGTCTGTTTAGTCTGTTTATTCATGGAGTTTTGCTTGGTGACGTGGTTGCTTTCTGTCTGTTTGCTTAGGCCCTTGTCCTGTGGTTTCAGGGTATTCTTCCTGTGCTCATTTGGAAGACTCTCAGGCTACAGAGATTAGGATTAACATAAGTGTGCAGTGTTGAGTGGGGTTTTATTTACTAAGTGAGGTTTTGGATTTAGAGAGACTGGGATTTTTGTGTGTGTGTGTTCATCTGGGGGGGGGATTCAGAGGGCTTGGGTCTGGTCCAGAGGGCGGAAGAACGTCGTGGTCCTCGTCTAGCCTTGCAGGGAGCGCAAATGATGCGTGTCATTGTAGCAAATGGAGCATGGTGATGAACTGCTGCTGCTGCTGCTGCTGTTTTACAAAGAAACCACTTAGAAAGTGTGCTTGCCTGCCTCCTGTGTGGTGCCTGAGTGCTCCAAGAAAGCCCTTAAGAAGCAAATAGCTCTCCTGCAACAGACTCACATAAGACAAATCCTGCAGATTCTTTCAGGATAGTCACCCTGTACCACCACCAATTCAAAATGAGCTTCTCCTCATACGGGTGACAGTGTTCACCTTTGCTGCATATGTTTTCTTATCGGCTTTAATTGCCATTGGCTGGCCTCCCTATGTTCTAGGGGTGTGTTAATAGCCTGGTTTACCGTTCGTCTTGCTTTCATCACCCGAAACACCTGGGGTTTTTTTGGCAGGTCGATGCATAGATCAGTAGCCTAAGCAAACAGGAAGCTCACCACACTGTGATGTTATTTATCGTCAGCATGACAAGCAGGCACTTTGAGCCCCAAGGTTACTGCATGAGTGATGCGTCGACCAAACCTTGTTGCTCCTCAGTTTGCTGCATTGTATCCAGGGTGTGGCCCTGCTGAGTATGTGTCCTGTCACTGAAAGGGTTTACCTTTGTCAATCACGTGTATGCCCACCAATGGTCACTGATGATACATCCATTCAGTCACCATGACGTGCCACAAGCAAACAAACACACTGATGACATCTGCTCCTTCACACTTATTTTCTGTTGCCATACGTGTTTTTTTTTTCTCTCCCTTTGCTGCCTGAGGAAACCGTGAAGGAGCTGCGCCAGTAAAGCTGCATCTCTGACATTCTGATCATTCCACCTATTTTAACTCTTTCCGAGTGACCTCCTCCCTGTTTCTTACCTCCTCTGAGCGCTGGTTGGTATGCTGTCCCACTGTACATGCTGCACAGACAGGTGACTGGAATATTTTTTCAGTTAGTCACAGGTGAACTTCACTTTGAAATACAAATGAATCACCTCTGCCTCACTTATGATTCATGTTTCGTGTAGATGATGTCAGACATGACAAACTACATGAAAAGTCTCCTGGGAAGTGTTTACATTTGGCTCACACGAGGGAGTGTTTTATTTGACTTTTGAACAGTTTTGTTGGTTAACAGCTATTATAATGACTTTTCAATTTGTCACCATTTAACATAATGTATCTTTAAGTGATAAGTAACACATATGTAATATAACTGATAAAACGTGATCATTAGTTCTGACACCACAGTTTTTATTTTAATTGGGTAACTTCAATTTTTGTATGTGTGTGTGTGTGTGTGTGTGTGTGTGTGTGTAACCCATTTATATCAAAATAATTCAGTTAATATAGTTAAAGACGCAGTCTCATTTGCTATAATTTGATGTAATTCATTTAGATTAATTAAACTAGGGCTTTAACTTAGTTATTTCCAGTATTGATTGTTCAGTCTGTAATACATCAGAAAATGGTGAAAAATGTCCAGCTTAATTTTCCATTTCCTAAAAAGACGCATCCAAAATCCAAACATATTCACTATAGTATAATATATGGCAAGAAAAAGCCACACATGCTCACATCTGTAGATATTAAATGTTTCAGCTTGAAAATAGACTTTCAAGCAGACTAAAAGTTGCAGCTAGGAAATAAACTTTCAATGACATTTTTGGAAACATGCTTGACACTTGTGAGTAACATTCTGTCCTGTTTCACTGTAAATGTCACCTACTGCTACTGCTGCACAACTCCAGAGAGACTTTATTACAAAGATTCTGCAGTATTTGTTTCATATTGTTGCTAAACAAAATGAGCTGCTAATCCTTTTGTGATTACAAGCTGCACAAAGTTTAAATAATGCAGGTTATGGCAGGCATGGTGTTTACAGTAGCGAGGATTGCACATCACCATAAACAATCTCCTCCAATCTGAGGCAGCAGATTTATTGCATTGTGTTGAGGCATCATTTTTCCAAAGGAAAACAACTTCCCCACAGCCCAGGTGTGTTCAGAGAGAATACCTGAGGTTTTCTCTGGCAGTGCTGGGATGGTTTCTTCTAATCTGCATGCAGACCTGAGGTCAACCATGTTTGTCAGAGATTCCCAGATTACTGGATCCTGGAAAAAGCTGCAACAATAGTCGTGCTTTTAAGAGCTGAAAGGAGAGGCTTGTTTTCTTTGGTTGCAGATGTCTTTTGAATCCATTTCCTTTGGCTGTAAAGTTTCTGACTTGCATACATACCAGGTTGTCAGTGTCTCCGTTTGAAGGTCAGCCCTTCAGAATCTACAGCGTTCATAGCTGAACTCCACCTTGCCGCATGAAGAAGCAGAGGGCGACCTTGCTGTACTTGGTACTATTTTTCCATGACTTCTGCCAAGATTTTAAAGCCATACCTCAGTGGTTAAAGCACCAGGGTCATAAATCTGCAGTCCGCCACTAAAACCTCTCATTTTACATCTTAATTGAGGTACTTAGGTTGACTGTATAAGCTACAATATGCATTGTTTAAAATAATGTTGTCTTTTTGTCTCTCCCATCTATTTACTCTTGTTTCATCAGCTGATACGTCTTGGGAGTGATGCACTGGCTTCCCCTGGTTGCCATGGTGATTGCCTCGGCCCTGCCCTTCCCTCACAACCCCGTGTCCAGGATTGCTGCCGCAACGACAGAGCCTGGCTTTGACAACCGCAGAGAGCACCGTCATGACTCGGCTGCTCACCTCGCAGCTCCCCCTGTGGACTACAACTTCCATGGAAATGCCTCACAAACGGACTACAACATGGCTGCTACCCTTAGCCAAAACACCAACAGACAAAACCTCCAGAACCATAAGGATTATGTGAAATCCTCCGTAGATGAAGAGACTTCCACGTTCAAAGTGGAGAATCAAGGAACCTACCAATCAAATAGCAACTCAGGCAGCGATGACAAAAGCAGTGACACTGTGGATGTTCCCACAGAAGGAGGAACACTCAGGACCGAGGATATTTCCCAGGATAATTCTTTACCAAAGGATTACAAAGCTGACAGCAGCAGCAGGAGAGATTACTCCAGTTTTGTGGACTTTTCCGAGAAGGACAATCTTCAGGACCCTACAGAAAGACTGCTGCCAGTTTCCACGGCGGAAACGCATAATGCAGTCAGTCCTGCTGCTAATCTAAAGGGTCAAAGAGGACCAGAACCAACTGTTCCCTCGGAAAAGCTCAGAGATGCACCTACAGTTGAGACAGGAAGCACGCGGACACCTGGGGCTGGAAGAGGTCCAGCTGAGGAGAGCTTGAACCTGGAGGCAGGGCTGGGTCTGGGGACCGGGCTGGACAATATCTTAGAAGGGGACGAGATGTTTCTGGATGCACATCCGCGAGTCCTGTTCTCACCTTCCCCGTCGCCTCCAGAGCACCCACCTCTCCTGCTCATGTTGGAGACCGGCCTGCTGGAGGAGGACGGGGAGGGAGAGGAGCAGGAGGACATGGACGGACACATCGAGGGTCACGGGGACCGGGCGATCGACAGGAGCACAACTCTGAGTTGGGCAGACTCTTCCAGAGTTACAGAGGTTGCCCGCCCTGTCAAAAGGGATAAACGCTCACACTTGATGGACAGAAGGAGAGGGGAAAAGTCAGTGTGCGAGGCGGAAAGTGTTTGGGTCACTGACAAGAAGACTGCCATCGACTCCCACGGTCAGAAGGTCACCATCTTACAGGAGATCCAGACGCAGACAGGACCACTCAAACAGTACTTCTATGAGACTCGTTGCCGCGAGGCCGAGCAGACAACCAACACTGGCAGGTCGAGGGCCGGCGCTGCACTTAAACCTGTTGGGACGGGCGTAGCCGGGGCCGGCTGCTTGGGCGTGGATAAAAAACAGTGGGTGAGTGAGTGCAAAGCCAAGCAGTCGTACGTCCGAGCACTCACCAAAGACGCTAACAACAGAACCGGATGGAGGTGGATCCGCATCGACTCGTCCTGTGTCTGTGTGCTGCTGTCCAGAGCCAATCAGGCGCTGGGAAGGGAGGTCTTGACGAGGAGGGGGAGAGGCTGAGAGAGAGAGGGGGGGGTGATAGGGAGAGATGGCAAGAAGTAGAAAGTGACACAGAGCAGAGCAGCTGTGACATCCTTCTGTGTGCACTTTCACTTTCTTAAACTTGACTTAGTTGTCCCTCTCTCTCCTCCAGCCCGTCCTCCACCGTAACCTCAAAAGACTTTTAAAAAAAACAAGAAGACCTCATTACTAGATCTTAGGGAAAATTGTCATATAGAGATTTTACTGTTTTTTGTATGATTTATCTTTCATAATCTAAGTTATTTTTGATTAGTATGTAAGCATGTGTATGTCTTTGATATTAATATATTCCTTTATATATGTGTACAATATGACACCAGTATACCTTTATGTATGAAGCTATGTATATCAGTGTGTATTTATAGAAGAAGTCTTCATGGAGTGGTAGGTCTCTCCAGTGTCTGATGATAATTCTAGCCTCTGGGCCGCTCGGGTTGTGAGAGGAAGGAGCGCCACCTACTGAGGCTCCACTTTACTGCTCCACACTGTTCACACATGGATTACCATGAATGTGACAGTGCATTTTAGTATCGGATACAGAAACTACAGCATGGGCACACTTAAGCATGGTTTCACTCAGGCTGATGATTTGACAGTTTTATGGGAGGAAACATCTCCAAATGTGGAACGTGTTCAATGTGGTTCATGATGTAAACCCATGTGGTTTGTAAATTATACGACACTTAAAAACTAATTTTACCATCTTCTGGTTTGTTCAGTTTGCCTGCCAAAATGTGGTAATAAAGGATCTTTGTACTCGGCACATTATTTTCATACCAATTAATTGATGTGAATATGTAGAATTGAGTTCTTGAAGCACTCCAGGGTTTATTTTGGGAAAGGATAAGTTACGATAAGTGGTATTTTTTTCAGCATTTTACTGCAGTAATCTGCAGTTTCCTCCAATTACAGCTTCATAAAATACACTCAGTGTTAGAAGAAGTATACAGGTCAGTTACTTGTGTAAAAATAGTAATACCCTCATTTAAAAATACTCCTTAGGAGTCGAAGTCCCACATATTTTGTGTATAAAATTCTAATCTGTTGAGCAATTAGTGGCTATAGCTGTCCAATAAATGCAGTGGAGCATAAAGGACAACATTTACATTTACCTCATAAATGTGGTGGAGTACAATAATTAAAGAACTGTACAACAATGTTTAAATTGTAATTAAGAATGGTACTTGAGTAAACTCACCACCGCACACGTGACTACCTGCAGAGAGACAAAAAACAAATTAATGGGAAAAAGAAAAAAGGTTGCGATGATCAGCAGATCCACCCGGATCGCTTTATTATTTTTTTCTTTCTTTTACATCACAATTTTCATCATCATCATTATTGTTTATTTTCCAGATGATATTTTCAATTTGTATTACTATCACTTTAATCATGGAAATCTGTTAAATCATTGCACAATTTGTTCTCAAAATGTACACATACAGTAGCGTATTTGAATGACCATTTTCAATGTTTCATATTTACTTTTTAAAACTAGTTCAAATGAAGTCAAGAAGAAACGGAACATGTACATACATTTATCCAATACATACCTAAAGAAAATAAATAGATATTGTAAAAAATAAAAAATACAACTGAAAAAAATACACACATTTTACAAATTGATCCCCAGGCTCCCGACCCCTGTAGGTTTATCATACAGATATATATTTTTTTTAAAGACACCTCATATCATCTTCACCACCAAAAAAATGTTTGTAGGTCATTGTCGTTTGTTTGACATGCATCGTAAACACAGAGGCTAAAGGTTTTGTTTCCTGGGCTTCCTCGGGTTCGCCCTCTCTCCCTGCCTCTCTCTGATCCCCCCCCAGAGAGCTCTTGGTTTCTGTTATGGCTTGTGTGTGCAGTAAAATGACCGGCTTCTGTCCATCCTTTCGTTTTTTTTATATCCCTCCTCCCTGTGAGTCACTGTTACGTCTCTCTGCCACCTCTCCTATCATCAGGATTACCCGAGACCCTGAGCTGATGATTACAAGTCATGACCCGCACAATTACATCATGGAGGGCCAGTGAGGAGTTAAAGTCTGACCTCAGTGTCATGTCATGTTATGTCATGTCTCATGCCTTCTTCAATATACAACACTTCGGTACCACTTTCTAATTAGACATACTTTACTTTCCCCAGTGTGAGTGGTTCTAAGGGAGTTCCAGGGGGTCCCCAGAACAATGGAGAATAGACTATTTTTTACTATTTTATTCACTATAGAGGTCAGCCAAATGTGAGTAAGAGTCCTGTAGTTGATAGCCATAGAATTCTTGTCTTAATCACATCTAACATCTATCTTTTTTTATCTTATAGAAATCCCAAAAGTCTTGTCATATGGGGGTCTGTGACCTGATGGGTATCAATTTAAGGGTTAGGGGGTTATGACTGACTATTTTTGTAATAAATATGATGTAATGCTTTAGATATATTATTTATAGGCCAGTAAAATGATACATTATTTAAAATGACTTTTGGGTTGCAAGGACATGAAAAAATAATTTTGGCTTTGTCTTTTTCCTTAAGCCATTTATTAACAACTTACTAACAATTCAAACTCCACACATGATATAACTGTGGTGGAAGAAACCTTTATGAATTACTAAAACAGCATTTTGGACCACAGATCTAATGGCTCATTATCAAGTCTGGAAACTTTTGAGTTTTTACATTAAGTTCCTTATACTTAGCTACCAGCTTTTACAGTTATAAATGCTAATATGATGTTGATAAGTGGTTAATAACATCCTTTTTTTCCCCAAAAGATAATGTTTGAGCTGTCCATTAGCAGAGTCATCATATTTTGAACCATCTAAATTGATTTGTCACAACCTTGCCACCCAAAACTCTTTATTAGCAGCTTTTTTTTACTGATCCATAAAGCATTGATAAATGATTTAATAAATGTTTAGATATTTTGCGATTGCACTTTGAAAAAGCTGGGAAACTCAAAAGAGGCAAATAAAAAATAAATAAATTGAAACATCAGAAGGCTGAAATATCCTGACTCTTTAGTCTCCAGTATGAGTTAAGCTCCAAAAACGCTGGGTCCTACATTTTCCATAATGCAACCCAGTAGAATCTTTTTGGAAAGCTCCTCCAGCACCACAGGGGACGTTATACAGCTGTTTTACAGGCTGCATAGGTCTTTTCATGATGAGTAAACTTAGCTTTATGTGAAAAATCTGCAGAGTGCCTCTTTAACATTGATAGAGCCTGTACTTAAAAAAATCCTTGTAAAGTACGCCTTTTCAGAGAGTGATACCAACACTTGATTTATGGATTTCCTGCCACTGACATCATGAACACAATGCCTCCGCTGCATCGCTCCACCCTGTCCCATCCACCTCTGTGGCTTTGATCTCTATAATGGGGTCCCTTCAAAAGAGATTACTTAGCCTATCAGCTTTCAAGGTGCCAATAGACAAAGCATGAGGAGGGTCCCATTGATGTGGTCGGAGCCAAACAGTGGTCTGAACTCAGACGTGTTTTACTACACCAATCCGACCAACTGGGGACACTTATACACCCCTGACAGGCCCATAGAAGCCAACAATAGAGCCACAATGGCTGACACTGAACACCATGAGCAGAAAGGAGAACACCAGTGTTGTGTAGTTATAACAGGTTAATGTCCATCCCGTCATTTCCCCCAATCAGTTTACAATTTTAACATCCTTCCAGTCGTTCCTCTGTTTTTCAAATCTAAACCTTACAGTGAGGTTAACTTCTGCCCCGGCTTTCAGTAAAAACACCTGTTGTTGAGCAGAAGTTATAAGGCGACACGTTTAGGTTGTTTTCAAACTGTAAGAGAATAAATGGCAGCAAGTAGTGGTTCCTTGAAGGTAGGAAAATGAGCCCTGATATTGCCAACTCTGCTGACTGTGTGCAGACTCCGACAGGAATGAAGAGAGGGGGAAACGTGCGGGACCAACACCGGTGTTGTCCTTCATTAACCCCACAGCACAGTCACACTAAGAGAGGAAGAGCAAAGACAGAACGACAGGAAGAGAGAGACAGGAAGAGAGAGACAGAGAGAGAGAACAGCTGATCCCATTCAACCTTCCCAGTCTGGTCGGAAAATACATTCATACATTCTTCATGTCATTTTCCCCCTTTATTCCTTTGCTTCTGTTATTGCAGAATGGTCAGACCGATAGGTTTATTTTGAAGTTAAATGGTTATATTCATTGCTTCTTTCTCCGTGGATGAGCGAGCAGGGTCCTCTAGTCCCAATCCAGTCAGCGCCCTGAGGAGAGAAACAGCATTATTCCCACGTCACTGCATCTGCGGCCTTAATTCAACTCTGCCTAAATCCCCACCAACCAAAACCCACCACTTAAAGACCTTAGGGGGACTACTAAAATCCCATGCTCAAACCAATCCACCTCAACAAACAGAATCATAAAACAACGAGGCTCGAAGAAATGTGTTCGGCACATGTGAAGGCGTCTCGGATGTTTTTGTTTCACCACACGGATAAAACCCTGCACGGATGCAACAGTACTAGGCAGTTTAATTAATGTGTGTTCTCACCTCAGCCCCTCAACAGGAGTACGTCCTCACTGAGGCAGATTCACCCCGGGCACCAGAGTTGGCTGTTTTGGAGACCGGAGAAACAGACACAGACAGGATCATTATCGTAAATGCAATGTCTTAAACAGCACTGACCTTCCACAGGCATTCCCATTAAGAAGTGGAATGGAGGATAATAGTCTTCCTCTGTACTTTGAAGCGTCTGTTCCTTGTTATTGCCAGTTCCTTTACTAAAGGAAAGAGAAAATTCCTCCGCCAAACTAATGGCAGAGTAGCATGAAAACAACCAACTGCTTTGTGCATGTGACTATGTGCGTGGATTTGCAGCAGCTTATATAACATGGCTGACAGTGGTTGAGAGAAGTATTCAGATCCTTTACTTCAGTAAAAGTATCAATACCACACTGTAAATATACACCACTACAAGTAAAAGTACTGCATTCAGAACTTGACTCAAGTAAAAGTACTCATTGTGCAGTAAAATTTTCCCTGTCAGTGTTTTAATATTATATATGATGTTTTTGGGTTAATGTTAAAGCTGCATTAATGTGAATGTTACATTTTAGTGCTGTAGATTTTATGGTTGTCCTTTCTATACTGCTGGGAAGTTCTAAGGGGTTCTATTTGAAATTTACTGCGCATGAATTGTCTGCATAAAGTTCTCAACATGGAGGTGGCTGAGCTGGCAGCTATAGCTAATGGTGCTAACTCCATAAACAGTGCTAAACAACAGCAATGATGCTGACAGAGCTAATGATGTTAACCATGGGGACACTGGAGAGTGGGAACCACCCTTCCACACCCCCACTGTCCTGGTACTAGCTGTGGCACAGGAGGTAGAGCAGGTTATCCACTTTTGGGAAAACTGGAGGTTTGATCCCTGACTCCTCCAGTCCACATGTCGAAGTATCCTTGGGCAAGATACTGAACTGTGAGTGCTTGTGAATGTTTAACTGAGTAGCAGGTGGCACCTTGTATAGTAGTCTTGGCTACCAGCGTATGAATGAGGGAATTTGACAAGTAGTGTTTAAGTGCTTTGAGTGGTCGGAAGACGATAAAGGCATTATTCAAATGCAAGTCCATGTACCATTTACCAAATTAGCTGATTCATTAGCCAATGGCATACACACGTGCAAACTTGCACGCTGGGCTGGATTGACTAATCATGGCAAACTATAGAGAATTAAGATTACAACACACACACAGAGGTAGCGTGATGTTTG